AAGAGACTACATGCGACCACTAACACAACCCTAAATGTTGTTCCATATCCCTTCACCTTAAACAACCCACTTCCGGATCCTACTCTGCCACCTCTACCCCTTTCTCTCAAATATAACCTAGCCATGAATATTCTGACCACAAATGCCACTGATACGTTTTTGTCACCACCACCACCAGAGAAAACCAAAAGAACATGAATCCTTCAACACCGCTCTTCCCTTTGGTATCTATCTCGATCAAGAAACCCGGACCTAGCTTTCTGCCACCGTCGCCACCATTCATCTTCATCCCTCTTCCTCTCTTGATTAAGAGAATTATAAGATCAACCAGGTTTTTTTTCTTCCTTAATAAAATCAGGTTAATTTGGGTTTTTTATTATTTTGTTTTCTCATTTGATGTTATGAAAGTATTCTTACCTTCATCACATGTTATGGTGACTTTCAGGTACTACCTTATTAGACTCGAGGGTTTGTAAGAAACATAATCATTCATATCAAAACAATGTTTTTTGTGTTGGCTTTGCAGATCTAAGACACATAATAGTTGTATGTTAGTTTTTAATAGACCTAATCCTAGCTATCAATTTGTAGCTGAAACTTCTCTCTTATAATCTGTAACTTCTATATGTATTATTTTTAACAGACCTAATTATTCATTTCACTTGTTGCAGATGATACAGATTAAAGATTTAAATTCCAATGCTCTCATCAATGAAAAATATACAGACTCCTTGCCTAAACTCCCAAGTTGTTCCAATCATTTACTTTGAATTTCGATGTCCTTTAGATTGACCATATTCATCATGTGTCTATTTAGGTTTTTTGAATTTAGGTGTATGCTCATGCTATTTTTTAGAGAAAACAGGTCCAGAATATGTGTGCTTTTAACTAAATTGGTGTGTGCTTTTGTTCATTTTGCAGGTTGGTTGTAACAAACTTGGGTTAAAAGAATGTGTGCCTTCTTTTGATCTGTAGGTAGGGTATCTCGTATTGGCTTTAATTTAACTATACTGACGTCTGCGCTTTTTAACTGGATTGTAAAGCAGTAATCAAAGTTATCAGTTTGATTGTTCACAAGATAGACTTTAGTTTCACAATGATCACTTCTAATACAAATGCGATTTTGCAGGGCATACAATACCAAAAAACAATGCTAATTAGTATTGAGACAGTCAAACGACCATCACATGCTTTGCTCATTGCCACCGCTTTGTACCTTGCCACAAACCACCGGTTGCTCTCTTTCTCTCCTCAATTTCATATATATGTGAAACAGTGAGTAGGATATTTAGAGACATCAGAAGGAGAACATCAGGTCTTCCACACATGACACAATCTTTCATGTTTACCTTTTGGCAAAAAATTAATATTTTAATAAACTTAGTATATGTTTATTCTTGAATGGTTGCTATTTTTGCAGGATTATGTTGATGAAATGACAACATGTTATACCTCAGAGTCAATGATCCCACCAGATTGGACATAAAATGTTGGCATTTTAAGAAACTTAGATTTTGTTCAATCTTTGAATTTCCTTTTAACCTACTAATATTAGTTTCTCCAATTTATGTGATCTTGTGTATATTCTTTTAAACTTCATAACATAACTTGTGAACTTGGGGTTTGTCATGTCTGCACCCCACTCAATTTCCATGCTAAAAGTTGTAGTTTACAAAATTTTGAAACAATTATATGTGTTGGCTGGACAAAAGATTAAGCTGGGATATATATCCAAATAAATTTCAAGTTGGGATATTGGTGGGGATAGGGCATAAGGGAAAATTGGAAAAATTGAAATTACTTAATAACCTACAAAGCTCCAGAAGTTTAAAGACACCTGGTTGCAATTGGGACTCACAACGCTTATTATAAAAAATGATAGGCTTCATGGGATCATGTGAGTTTCAAAATTATATAGCATGGCTTCAAAGTGAACAGTCTAACGAGGGCATATAAGGAAATCTCTATGTTAAAGTAAAATAGTCATTTAATTGTTCATTTGGTCCAAAAAGTGTTATAAATCTAGATATCACTTAATTATGAAAAAAAACAAGGTCTTAATGTTGATAATCTTATAACACCAGTGATTTTATTTCTTAAGTTATCTATTTCATACACTTTGTATCATCTTTGAATTTGGTTTTCATGGTGTTGAAACTATATGACAGATCAAAATTGTATGAGGAGCACAATGGTATTTTGATATTTAATGTGCAAATAACAATTTTTTTTTGCTAAATATGTGCAAGTGAGGTAATATGAACATTCAAGTTTCTTTGTGGGTTTTGAAAACAGATCGATTGCAAAGGATATCAAACAAATGCTATCACACATGGATGTTAAAATTAAGCTAAATGTAGGAAATGTCGTTTAAGATAAACCAAATAAGTGGGGAAGTCTTGGATGGTGAAGCTCTACATAAATTTGTTTGATGTGAGTCTTAAGTGCATCGAAAAACAAAGTGTAATGAGCGTTTTTGTAACTTTCAACTTATCTACTTTTTTGTAATTTTCAATTTATATGTACAAAAGTTTGCATGACGAGGGTCTTATTTTTATTTACACTATTTGTTTAATTTTTTGGGTTAGGTTCCTATCTGGTAAATTTAGAGTTAAATGCAAAAAACAATAATCTATTTTTGTTGATTTGTATGTCATAACATCCCAGTTTTATGTATTTCTTTTACAAGGTCATAACATTTTATTTCTTACATTCTAGGATGTATAATAAGCAAATAAATAAGATATGTTTTTTTTCTAGCATTATATTATCAACAAATAACAATATAAATGAAATCCTATAATACCTCTCTAAGTGTTATACGTGGAGAAATTTTCCATGAAATCCCTATTAGGGTTGAGTTCGTTATGTCAACGAGCTCGAACCAGAGATGTTTGTTGAAAAATTGCGAGTAGGCTTCCAGTTAATTGTTTGCCGTTACAAAATAATAATAATAATAATAATAATAATAATAATAATAATAATAATAATAATAATAATAATCAATCTGCTTTTTCTTTTTAATTGTTTGTTGTTTCAAAATAATAATAATAATAATAATAATAATCAATCTTTTTTTGTTTTATTACAGAACAACACGTCAATTAGAATCTATAGATGCTACCCATAAACGATTGAACCACACCATACAACAATTGTATTAAAAGAATACTATAACCAAAAAAATAAAAAAATAAAAAGAATTAACATATAACAAACATATAAATTAAAAGCTCTACCATAATAAAATAATTCAAAAAATGGTCAAAATACTTCAAACCAACACAAAAATCTTTAAGCTTGTTTTCTTTTTCAATTGTATGTGATTTATATGGTTGTCTACATAAAAGATTGACCTTTTATAGTAATATTTTCGTTAAATGCATATTAACATAATATATATGTTATAAAACTTTTGAGTGTTTAAGTCATTATTAAGAAGAATTTTGAGTGATATTAATTAAAATAGGGGGTTTCAAATGAATATTGCACTAAGATGTTATAAAATATTTAATTATTTAAGTTATTTATAAATAAATTATTAATAATGCTAATTATTTTAAATCTTATTGTGTTCATTTGTGTCGTTACACCAAAGGGAAAAAAACAGAAAGGACAATCGCATTCCAATATTAAAAAAAGGTAAACATTTTAGAATTTCTTCTATATAAGTGTAACAAAGATAAAACTTGTGTAGCAAGACTTTTTCAAAACAAAGATAAATGTACCTAAATAAAACAAATATAATTTTTTTACTCTATCATAACATAAACCATAAGGTTAAATGTCCATCTATGTTTAATGTGGATATGATGCATACAACAAAAAAACGCCAACAATCAAAGTATCGATCATTATCATATTTTTCTTCCCGTAAACACCATAAACGCAAAGTAAAATACAAACTAAAATACAATTACGAATATGAAGTACAATTACAACCACCCATAAATGAAAACTAAAATATAATTACAAACATAAAGTTACCACACAACCACCCACATTGCACAATAATCTCCATATAACATAAACAAAAGGATATAACATATAAAAGAAAAAGAAATTATGAACCAAATCCTAATATTATAAATCCACTACAATTAAATATACAACATTCGACCACCATTTTTTTTAAATCCATAACACAACAAATCATATTTTGCATTTTCTATATAAAAACACAATGTAATCAACATTCTTCTTACATGAGTGATTGGAGAAGTGTGGTGCAATGTTGCTAAAACTGTAATGTTTCAAGTTGGTGACATTATAAACTAAGAAGATGCAGAAAGAATTTCACTCAAAGTGAGATGTTTAGGAAACGAAGAACTAAAGAGAGAAACAAAGATTCATAAATCACATGTAACAACTTATATAACATGTTTGATGTATAAGCAATTAATAATCATTACTAAAATGCATTTGAAAAAACATGAGAGTTTCAAATCAATATGTTGCTTGGAAATTTGCCTCTTTTATAAGTTTTGAGAATATGAAAGGACAAAAGAGTTTCAAATCAATGTGATGCTTAGAAAAATGCTAGCTTTATAAGATATATAGATATAGATATAGATATAGATATAGATATAGATATAGATCAGAAACCACTTTGATCTTCCTATCCTTAGTGTTTAGATGACCAACTCTATTCCCATTGACTTTGGGTTATTATATTCAGTTCTACATTGTTATTCCACAAGTCCACCTTATCATCCTTTCTATGTTATGCGACTTTTTTATCATTAGACATTCAGATCCGTACAACATAGTTGGCCTAACTTGTATCCTATAGAATCTCCTTTAATTTCAACGGAACCTTCTTGGCGCTAATATTAATTTATATTATATTATAGTTTAAGTTCGAAGTTTAATAATATAATACATAAATAGTTCAATTCGGTTTGAAATTTTGTTTTACATTTTAACATACTTATAATTAATTTTCAATTTGGGTTATAAGATTTTTAAACATAGTAAAAACTTAGATCAAACGGATGAACATATCTACTCTCGACACAAAATCTGTGTTACATAAGCCTTACAAATAATGATCCACATAAATATACCTATTTCCATTACAAAATCACACATCTACTACTCATGTTTAATAAACAATTAGGAATCCTAATTAAGACCCTGTACGTGGTCCAAGAGCACGTAATCATGGGCTATAGAAAGTGGGCCCACACTTGCATTTCCAACCCTCTGGCTCATAGTTTGTATACTGGATTCCCACATGGCTCGTTGTGGGTACTTGGGTGGCTTCACATGGGCTACACCCATAGCACTTGTGCTCACAGCTTGGTGGTCTCGAGCCTATCCTGTTCTCTATCCCTCTTCCATATCTATCATCTTCTTCATTCTTCATCGTATCTTCATTCTACATTAATAAACCCAAACCCAACATCAGTAAAACAGTCAAACACATAATTAATCCGTCTCTATAATACTAAAAAACATCGTTATAACACATACCTTGCTCAAGGACCCTTGATCCGCCGTCGTTTTAGACCCCTTGTTGAATTGAAAAGACATCTGTGCTGCCGTGCTCGCTGATAAGGATTACAATGTGCATTAGGAACTTAGAATCAGTTAAACTTATTTATAAAAAGAAAAACAAGATAATTAGTAACTTTTTATTTATACGAAACCTTATAAAAACAAACCTTGTTGTGAAGGGAGAAGAGTGGGAGGAGGAGAGACAAGATTTGGTTCCAGAGGCCTGCTAATTGCTCTCATTATATACAGCATTATCATCACAAACCTACAAAATCTCCCCTTCATTTCTTCCGAAAGTTATAATGATGATGATGGTGATGGTGATGGTGATGGTTTGTTCTTGAGTGACACAAACAAAGATGGTTTAGTTTACAGTTTCAAAACATTGATCAACATGATTACATACATATATATGTATATATAAAGAAAGAGAGTGGAGGTGAGGTGAGGACTGGGATGCTGGTGTAAAGAACTTGCAGTACTAGCCTCAAAACAAAACAACACAAGCAAGAAAAATCCAAATATTTTCTTGGGATTATCACACAGTATGTTGCTTCGCAGACAAGTGATTCTACTAACAATTCAATCTTTTGACAACTCACTTGAGAGAGAGAGAGAGAGAGAGTTAGAGAGAGAGAGAGAGAGAAAGAGAAGATATATATTATATATATTTATAAAGTAATTAGTTCTGCATAGAAGCAATCTTGTGCATAGACTGAAGAGCCATCTTTTAAATCAGAAACTTTCATTCCTCAAATGGAAGTGAAGAAATCAAGTGATCAGAAAGGCTATCATACTTTTTACCTCTTTTCTTTTGCTTCCACTGTTCGATATACATATAGCGCTAGCATATATCATCAATGAGTTGGTTAAAAGATAATTAATGGAGTACTAATTGAATAAAATAGTGTACCTCAGAGTCAACCCATGAAAACTTAATTGGTCAATCAATTATATATTTATTTTTCGAATTATCTTGTTTATGTTATTGTTGTTTTTTTTTCTATTTTTTAAAATTATCTAAGTAATTTAATTAGAAAAAAATGGTATACCATTCTATGATCAGCTCATCGGCATTTTAGTTTTAATATGACGAATCTATAGTTTTTTACTGATATATTTTTCAAACAGTTTAGTATTTTTGTGTTAAACCAAAACATTGGTGATTGGTGAATGACTAAATGACTTGAGTAAAATGCTTTATGAAAGCATGATAACTAGATATGTATGAAAAAAAACACAACTTACATAGAACAAATCAAATAATATGTTGTTATTTGATGAGGTTGTGAATTAATAATACATGTACATGTACCCATTGTTTTTATGATATATGGTAGTAGATTGTACCCTCTTCCAACTTTGAATCTGGGCCATTGATTGATGTTTGCATACCCCACTTAATTTAATAGTAGATGATGAGTATATTTATTGCTATATGGGTACCATCATCATCATCATACTGCCTTTGTACCAAATATTATTGACGATGTACTCCATTGCATGTAAACAAGTGTAAATTTGAAGTTTCAAATCAATTATACCAAAAGAAAATATGTTAACATAGAAAGTGATGCAAATTATATTGGATAGAGTGCAAGTATTAAATAGTTGGCAAGATTTAGACTTGTGTTTTTGTGTGCAAAGTAGATAAACCTGATAAGAAAAAGGAAAGACCCTCCATACATACAGCAGTAGCAGTAATAGTAGGGTGGGGGTGGGATGGGATAGGGTGGGGTGGGGTGGGGGTGGCAGGCATGGGTAGTAGGATGAACAAAGTGAACTGCCCCAGAGGCTGAGGTTGATTTGGAATGTTGAATGGGAAAGCTCTTTCTTAAAAAAGGCAGTAGATTTTTTGATTGGATGTATGCAAGTTGTAAAAATAAACAGATGGATTGTCATTGTAAGAAATAAGAATAGCCGTCACTGTAATTAGAAAAACATAAAATAATGGAAAACACATTCTAATAGAATTCAATAGTAAATTTGACTATTACTAAATCAGTGATTTTTTTTCCCGGGTAATATTATATAAAAATCAAACATCATATGACAAAATAATGTACTCATCATAATGGCAACATGTGTCTTCCATTTCCTGTCATGCATTTTATCACCAGGATATAGACCTGAAATTTTCAGTTCAATTATTTTTTATATTTATGTCTCATTTGTAAAATATTAAATGAAATGAAATATAAATAATGATAAATGAGTTTTCTTCAATTTTTTTTTTTTTTTTTTTTTTTTTGCATTATACACATTTGAAAAAAAATTATAAATATTTGTAAAAATATTTAAATAACCCTTTTTAACTAACTTATGGATCAAAATTATATATATATATATATATATATATATATATATATATATATATACTTAATTAAATTAAAATGATATAAAAGCTCTTAAGTTTTCAAAAAAATATCAGTTTACCCTTGGACATGTTTTAGGTCCGGTAAAGCCGAATGTTTTGTTTATTCATTTATACCATTTTAGTCGGTTTTCAGTTCAATTATGTTTTCAAAAATATTCGGGTTACCTTTAACTTTTAAAAAATGTATGGATTTACCCTTAAGTTTTCAAAAATGTTCGGATTTACTATTACTTTGATTATTATTATTATTATCATCATCATCATCATCATTATCATCATCATCATCATCATCATGAATATTATTATTATTATTATTATTATTATTATATTATTATTATTATTATTATTATTATTTAATACATTTTTAAATGTATAAAAATATTTTATACATATTTTTTTAAATGTATAATAATATTTTTATAGATATAAATACATTTTTAAAAATATATGTACTTGTATTTAGTATTTATATACGTTTGAAAGCCTATGTATTCCTTTAAAAACATATTTATATATTTAAAATGTATTTATTTGTATTTATTTGTATTTATTAGGTATAAATATATATTTATTTCATATAAAAATATATTGTATACATATAGATATAAAAATACCTATTTATAAGGTTTATATTGTATAAAAGATATAGTTATATGCATTTGTACATATTACTAACTATAAGTATATATTTATTTCATATTTATATGTATATGATATGTATTTATACATATTTATATGGTAAAACATATAAACGAAACATTTTTTTATTGTTCTTTGGATGATTCATCAACCAAAACACAAAAAAATGTTTTTGGTTTTTGCTTACTAACTATAAATATGTATCTATTTTATATTTATATGTATACGATAGTTTTTATACAAAATAAGTATCTATTTATATCTATTAAGTACAAATAAAATTACTTTTAAATGTATAAATATGTTTTAAATGTATAAATGCGTTTTTATTTGTATTTAATATATTATATTATTGTATTTATAGATATAAATATGTATGTATAAAAATATCGTATACATATAAATATGAAATAAATATTATACTTTTACCATATAAGAAAACGTTTATATGTATTTTACCATATAAATTTGTATACATATATCAATATGAAATAAATACATATTTATACTTAGTAATATGTACAAATACATATAGTTATATCTTTTATACAAGATTAACCTTTTAAATAGATATTTTTATATTTATATGTATACAATATGTTTTATACGAAATACATATATATTTATACCTACTAAATACAAATAAATATATTTTTGATATATAAACATGTTTTTAAAGACATACATTGGCTTTCAAATGTATATAAATATTAAATAAAAGTAAATACATTTTTAAATACTAAATACAAGTAAATATATTTTTAAATCTATAAAAATATTTTTATACATTTAAAAACCTATTTAAAATTGTATGTATAAAATATTTTTTATACATTTAAAAACATATTAGACATAATAATAATAATAATAATAATAATAATAATAATAATAATAATCAAACTAATAGTAAATCCGAACATTTTTGAAAACTTAAGGGTTTTACTGGTATCATGTAACCGATAGGTGATCTGGAAACCGGCTATAAGGGTATAAATGAACAAATTAAACAAAACATCTGGTGTTATTCAACCTAAAACACATCCAATGGTAAAACCGATATTTTTTGAAAACTTAAGGATTTTTATGTCATTTGCCCTTAAATTAATCCACAAAATATTTAACTCTTTCTGAACCATAAACTACAAAGTTTAATAATAATTAAACTGGGCATGTAAACCGGTTTGGAATTAGATTGATACCGAATAAGGCATAAATTAAGAGCTGAAAACCAAACCAAATACCGATATTCGGTTTGCGGTTAAAAAGTTCATCTCTAAATTAAAATACTATGTTTTAGGGATATTGTGGGTTTTTAACACCTCCCATAAAACGGAATTGAATTTATATCCTTAAATATTATCCGAATAGATTATATCTGGTGATTTTATACATTTAACTGAATTAAAAACAGTTAGCGGCAATTTGTTGTAGAGAAGGAGAGTGGAATGGAAGTAATACACAAAAGACAATGTAAGGTTTGTGTGTGTGTGTGTGTGAGTTGTTTAGAGTAATTAATAATATGTGATATGGGGATCTGATGGATCAGTGAAAGACAGATGTCCAGCTTCAGCCTGCCCTCATTAATGCTATTCTTATGAGTTTTGGTTTTCTCCAACTATAAACAGCAGCTTCAATTCCTCTCTAGTCAGCTGCTTATTATATGAATTAATTAACTTTCATATGTGCTACCTTTAATATTATATTTATTTCAACCACTTCAAAATAGATTTACCTTAATTCTGGAATTATGGCATTTCGTGCAAAACCACAATCTTATGCATGCTTTAAGGTTGAGATACTTACATAGGTTTGATTTAAGAGAAATAAAAACTAAAATAACAAATTTTCTTATACATTTGGTACAAAATAACAAAAAACAATGATCCTACACATCTTAAGAGTTTTTTTTTTTTTTTTTTTTTTTTTTACATCGATTTTTATCGCAAATTTCTCTCATTGATTTCGTTTTCAAGTTTTCTTTGGTTGTAAAAATCGTTTTTGAAGATCCCAGCCACAACAAAAAAAATTCCAAAAAGTGTTTTCTTGATAAAGGATCATGATTTTTATAAAAATATGGACAATTTTTCAGTAAACGATGTAAATTTCAAAGTAAGAAAAAAAATATAATTTCATAGTCCAGACCCATTTGTATTGCTTTATTTCACAATGGGCTGGACTGAGAATATTGAGGACGATTTCACAGTTAATAGTGCATTTGAGAAATGTGTGGCTATTGTTGGAATAGTGAAACTTTTAGTTATTTCTTGGCAAATGGTTGATGAAAATGGTTAGTTTTTTTTTTTTTTTTTTTTCTTGATCTAAATTGGTTAATTGGACTAAAATTATTCAACTAAACATCAAACTTATGATTACTACCAAATGTCAAAAGTGACTATCATGAAAAGTCCAAAGATAGCAGGAAATGATCAACTAGTGATCCGTAGTACAAACATTTACAACAAGTGATTATCATTAATTTGTGGAATTTATTTTTTAGGGTGAATTGCTTCCACAACAGCTTCAATTTCTTCCTTGGCTCTTTCAAGAACACCCGGTCCTTTGA